GTTATTATAATGGGGAAGCGCTAAACCCGTAGGGATTATACAGCGCCTGTGAAGGGAGTGGGTGGAAGGTATTCAGGCTCAGTTCAGGGAACTGGAGTACAGGTCCAGTCCTCTAGATCAAGAGCCCCTCACCAGCGTCAAGGAACCTCCCTTGAGGGGAGAGGAAGAGGTTGCAATGTTGAAAATGTTACTGAAAAGTGTACTAGTGTTATTGCAAGTAGGTTTTTAACTTTACTCGAACCTGAAGTATGTTTGAACTTTTTCGTTTTTCATTGTAATTACTGTAAGAGGTTCAGTGGTCTGTAGAATCTTAGAAAACTTACCTAACCTTACTATAACAAGCGCAGTTTAATTTAGCCTAATCCATCTAAATATATTTTAGATGATTTTACAATAATTTCATAAACACAGTGAAATATATTTTTTTCGTTAGGTTCAGAATATTTTTTGCGAAATTATTGCATACACAAATTTTTGCTTGCCTTATACGGCAAGAAGAGCATTGCTATTTAAGCAAAAATAGCAAGTTTTACCTCTTCGGCACGACATACATACATTATATATTATATATATTTATATATATATATGATTATATATATATATATATATATATATATATATATATATATATATATATATATAATATATATATATATATATATATTCAATGCATATGCAATAAGATCACAGTAAACAGGTGATATCACAACATGCAGAACAACCATTGTGAAAAAAATAGTAAGAAATTACGAAAGCATTTGGAAGTGCACGATTTTTTTCAGTGGTGGTTCTGCATGTTGTGATATCACCTGTTTATTGTGATCTTATTGCACATTAATATATATATAATATATATATATATATATATTATATATATATATTATTAATATATATATATATATATATATAATATATATATATATATATATATATAAACAAGTCGGCCGTCTCCCATCGAGGCAGGGTGACCCAAAAAGAAAAAAAAATCCCCAAAAGGAAAATACTTTAATCATTCAACACTATTCAACACTTTCACCTCACTCACACATAATCACTGTTTTTGCAGAGGTGCTCAGAACACAACAGTTTAGAAGCATATACGTATAAAGATACACAATATATCCCTCCTAACTGCTAATATCCCGAACCTCTCCTTTAAAGTGCAGGCATTGTACTTCCTATTTCCAGGACTCAAGTCCGGCTATATAAAAAATAACCGGTTTCCCTGAATCCCTTGACAAAATATTACCCTGTTCACACTCCAACAGATCGTCAGGTCCCAAGTACCATTCGTCTCCATTCACTCCTATCGAACACGCTCATGCACGCCACCTGGAAGTCCAAGCCCCTCGCCCACAAAACCTCCCTTACCCCTTCCTTCCAATCTTTTTGAGGACGACCTCTACCCCGCTTTCCTTTCCCTACAGATTTATACGCTCTCCATGTCATTCTACTTTGATCCAATCTCTCTAAATGACCAAACCACCTCAAACCCTCTTCAGCCCTCTGACTAATGCTTTTATTAACTCCACACCTCCTAATTTCCACACTCCGAATTTTCTGCATAATATTTACACCACACATTGCCCTTAGACAGGACATCTCCACTGCCTCCAACCGCCTCCTCGTTGCAACATTTACAACCCAAGCTTCACACCCATATAAAAGTGTGGGTACTACTATACGTTCCCTTCTTTGCCTCCATAGATAACGTTTTTTGTCTCCACATACACCTCAACGCGCCACTCGCCTTTTTTCCTTCAATTCTGTGATTAACCTCATCCTTCATAAATCCATCCGCCGACACGTCAACTCCCAAATATCTGAAAACATTCACTTCTTCCATACTCCTCCTCCCCAATTTGATATCCAATTTTTCTTTAAATCATTTGATACCCTAATCACCTTACTCTTTTCTATGTTCACTTTCAACTTTCTACCATTACACACACTCCCAAACTCGTCCACTAACCTTTGCAATTTTTCTTTAGAATCTCCCATAAGCACAGTATCATCAGCAAAAAGCAACTGTGTCAGTTCCCATTTAGTATTTGATTCCCCATAATTTAATCCCACCCCTCTCCCGAACACCCTAGCATTTACTTCTTTTACAACCCCATCTATAAATATATTAAACAACCATGATGACATTACACATCCCTGTCTAAGACCTACTTTTACTGGGAAGTAGTCTCCCTCTCTTCTACACACCCTAACCTGAGCCTCGCTATCCTCATAAAAACTCTTTACAGCATATAGTAACTTACCACCTATTACATATACTTGGAACATCTGCCACATTGCTTCCCTATCCACTCTATCATATGCCTTTTCTAAATCCATAAATGCAATAAAAACTTTCCTATCTTTATCTACTGTTCACATATATGCTTCAATGTAAACACTTGATCTACACATCCCCTACCCATTCTAAAACCTCCTTGCTCATCCGCAATCCTACATTCTGTCTTACCTCTAATTCTTTCAATTATAACCCTACCGTACACTTTTCCTGGTATACTCAGTAAATTATTCCACTATAATTTTTACAATCTCTTTTGTCCCCCTTCCCTTTATATAAAGGGACTATACATGCTCTTCCCCAATCCATAGGTACCTTCCCCTTTTTCATACATTTATTAAACAAAAAATACCAACCACTCCAACACTATATATTATATTATATATATATATATATATAATATATATATATATATATATATTATATATAATATATATATATATATAATCAACACAAAGAAAACTCAAATGTGTAATGTAAATACAATTTATGAGGGGAACTTTCCCCTTAACAACCACAACGTATGCAACATTGCAAGGATCAGCAACAACTAGGTTCACCATTACATAGACTTTATTTTAAAAAATCTTCACATTATATACATCGATTTTGATAAAACATATAAATATATATTGTACACTATATATATGACCTATCAATACATTGCTTAAAATAATTCATATCTTGAAATATCGCCTTTCTCTGTTATTTTCATCATATATATTTTTAAAAGCTTCCATAATGAGAGAATTTTTCAAAATTTACTTACGTTAAATTTTTGTGATAAATTTTTATTTTAGAACGTTGACAAAAATTATATTTAAGGATTTTTTTTTTACTTTTGATAATTGTATGATTACTACCAAGGATGATAACTATGTAATATATTTAAATTTGACGGACAGGCGACCCTTTCAAATTTTTGGTATTTTGCCCCACTTGTGACATCTTTCTTTGTCTTTTTCGGTAATGTTACAAAATCGATCTGATATACGAATTCGTTTTTTTTTTTATTTGCCTATTTCACCTCTCCAGAAAAAATATTCCTGAGCATCTTCACAAAAAGATAGAGTAAAATTTTCACCATTATTGGTCATCGTATCGCCCATTTCTTTTTTTGGAAAAAAAATTTCCAAGATATAATGAATACAGAAAAACCGGAAGTAACTTTACGTACTTACATGCAGTAAAGAATTTCCAAATTTTCATAAATAACAATAATTTCCCAAAGGTGTGTGTTGTAATTATATATATATATATATATATATATATATATATATATATATATATATAATATATATATATATAATATGCATGTGTTTGACATGTCTCGGCAAAGCGCTACAAAGATTGCGCTCATACGCATGTACATATATTATACACATAGCACATATACATTATGTATCATACAACGATATACAAAATTATACAGATAAAGCCTAAGGAGGTTCACCTTCACATCTGCACCAGATGTGACTGACTGGTTTACAAGTACCTATAGGGTTTCTGCTGCCAGATGTTTCAAGCGGTGCATCAGCACGCTCGTTTCGAACACTGAGACGAGGCACCTGTCTCAAACACCGTGTACCATTTCCATCGCCGTAACAAGTTTACTGTTTCCAGCTTGTATTTTGAGAGCTGTGGTCACATTTCGTGTCGAAATTGGTTTCAAGAGATCGTTCGAAATTCGCTTCCAGCGCTCGAGTTTGTTCGTCTGATGGTGAAGTTGTAGCCAGACAGCTTCGAAGCATTTGTAACACAGCTTCGAAACTATAGCAAGACAGCTTCGCATCATTTGTAAGTTAGCTTCCAAGAAATGGCAGGATGTTCTGTTTTTGTCTGTGCGTGCGCCAGCGGTGAGGGTGGCCGCTCGCTCTCTGACAGCCAGTCATTGACCAGACATAAACAGGGTGATCACCGCTGCGCTACCCCTCCGCTTTTGTTTCCTAATGTAGCGTCCTCAGCACGGGCGCAAGGACAGATGGAGGCTCCACTTAGCACTTACGTTCCTCGTTGTTTTGTCTTCACGTTCCTCGTGATTTCATCTTCTCATTCGTCATTGTCTTCCCATTCCCCATAATTTTGTTTACACGTTCTTGACAGTTTTGTTTTAACGTTACCCATGATTTAGTCTTCACGTCCCTCATCCTCATGTTTGTATGTTTCTCTTTTTTTTCACTGGCCTAAAATAAGTTTTCCACATGCTGTAAATGTCTATTATAGAAATATATGAGACTTTTTGTTCAAACCTCTCGCTTTATTTTCTTCTTCTAACCTCTCCCTATTTTCTTGTTTCAAGTCCTTTCTCTATTTTCTTGTATATTTTCATGTCCAGCTGTGGCCTATTATATAAACGTAGACTGAAAGTAAACTGATTAAATACTCTACGATATTGCTCTTAATGCATATTCCTCGTGTCATACAGAATATATAAAAAAATGTATTTATAACAATAACTTGCTTATATTATTGTTCAGTTTAAGATGTTTGTTAACATGTTAGCAAAATGTTAATGTTAGATTAATTGAAGATGTTAACATGGTACCTCCAGAAATATTAAGTTTTTGACGTAGTACCTCCAGATATGTAATAACCTGGACATGGTTCCTTTATTATTTATATTTGTGATACTGTATAGAATCTCCAGAAATATTTCAATTATTGACTTTCCGCTTTCATATATAAATGTTTTGTAATGTTGTGTGTGTGTGTGTGTGTGTGTGTGTGTGTGTGTGTGTGTGTGTGTGTGTGTGTGTGTGTGTGTGTGTGTCACCTCCACCATTGCAACATCTGGGTGACCTGCGTCACCTAGAGACAGACTCCTCTGCATTGATAATATTTATTATTGGTAATTGTTCTATATTTTATCAGTAATAGTTTTATTTAGTTTGTATAGCCAGTAAAATTGTCAGTCAGTGGCACTGAGGTTGACACCTTCCCCACCAGTAAGTGTGGTACTGAGGTTGGCACTCTGCAAAAAACTTGAACTTCATTGGTTCTCACTCATGGACCAGTGCCAACCTATCGTTCTAGTTTACCCCTCGTGGACCAATCACAGCCTCTCTTTTGTTTACTCTCAAGTACGGACCAATCAAAAGCCGCCTCTTTCTTACCCTTCACTTGTTGGTCTATGAAAAGACAACTTTTCTTAGGTCAAAAAGATGAGGGAATGTGAGATAATCAGCTTTGATTTCAGGAAGGAAAAGGTCACCCCAGTTCTTTGGATCAAGAACTTTGGATCAAAGTTGACCTTTTGAAACGAATACTGAGATTATTAAAGGAAATAATCCTCCATAAACAATAAAATTTGTTCTAATTTACTCCGGTTATCCTGGTCGTCTTTACTGAGTTTTATTATCTATAGTGTTTTCTTGTTTATAGTTTTATTTTTGTGTTTTTGTTAATAGTATTTTGTTTCCTGTTAACAGTATTTTGTTTCCTGTTAACAGTATTTATTGTTTCTTGTTTACAGTGCTTTATTTTCTTGATTAGTGTTTTAATTTCTTGCTTAGTGTTTTATTTTTGTGTTTGTGTTTTATTATACTTTCTAGCTCGTTTTGTTTATAATGTTTTATTAAATTTTCCTCTTCAGAGTTTTTTATTCTGGTTCCCTGTTTTCGTCATTCAGAAAAAAATGAAGTTCGGAAGAAACTGGAATCATGTTTTTTTTTTTTTTTCAAGTCAGTTACGTACTGTGAACAGGCAGGCTCACTCGTGAACAGGCTCACTCGTGAACAGTGAACAGGCTCACTCGTGAACAATACAGTTACCACAGTAACTTAAATTTGAGATAATCAAGTGAACACAGCTAGTCAGGGAGAAACACAGACAGGAAAGACAGGCACGCAGGGAGATAAACAGGAAATGATGATACATACACAAACACACACACACACACACACACTACATTACATTACTCTATCCATCCCTACATCCCCCTTTATCCATCCATCTCGATCCATCCCTCCCTCTCTCATCCAAGAACCAGACCCTCCCTCTATCACAAGGTAAGTGACTCTCCATCCCTCCCTCTCTGCCTCCCAAGACAAGTACTACACCTGGACTCCTCCCCTCCCTCCATCCCAAGGCAAGGTACCACTTGTTTAAAATTTTATATACCTGCCCTGCGACCATCATTATTGCGTCTCTCTGTCCCTCTCTCTTCTTCATTCAACAGAACTGGTAAACATTGTAGCAAGAAGCTGCTTTCTCATCTGTCGCTCACATGACCCCCACCTATCGCTCACATGACCCCCACCTATCGCTCACATAACCCCCACCTTCGCTCACATAACTCCCACCTATCGCATACCTATCACAGTGCACGCTGGGAAGCAGGATCAAACTGCATGCTGGGAGGCAGGATCACACTGCAGGCTGAGAAACAGGATCTCAATGCAGGCTGGGAAGCAAGATCACAGTGCAAGCTGGGAGGCAGGATCACAGTGCAGGCTGGGAGGCAGGATCACAGTGCAGGCTGGGAGGCAGGATCACAGTGCAGGCTGGGAGGCAGGATCACACAGCAGGCTGGGAGGCAGGATCACAATGCAGGCTGGAAGGCAGGATCACACAGCAGGCTGGGAACAAGGATCACACAGCAGGCTGGGAACAAGGATCACACAGCAGGCTGGGAACAAGGATCACACAGCAGGCTGGGAACAAGGATCACACAGGCTGGGAATCAGGATCACAGTGCAGGCTAGGAACCAGGATCACACAGCAGGCTGGGAACCAGGATCACACAGGCTGGGAACCAGGATCACACAGCAGGCTGGGAACCAGGATCACACAGCAGGCTGGGAACCAGGATCACACAGCAGGCTGGGAACCAGGATCACACAGGCTGGGAACCAGGATCACACAGCAGGCTGGGAACCAGGATCACACAGCAGGCTGGAACCAGGATCACACAGCAGGCTGGGAACCAGGATCACACACAGGCTGGGAACCAGGATCACACAGTAGGCTGGGAACCAGGATCACACAGTAGGCTGGGAACCAGGATCACACAGCAGGCTGGGAACCAGGATCACACAGCAGGCTGGGAACCAGGATCACACAGTAGGCTGGGAACCAGGATCACACAGCAGGCTGGGAACCAGGATCACACAGTAGGCTGGGAACCAGGATCACACAGCAGGCTGGGAAGCATGCAGTTCACAATTTACATCACTACTTCCCTCCCTCTAACATCCCGCCTCTCCTTGTTCACCCTCCCTCATCTTTCGAGCCCATCCCTTCACACCTTCCCTCCCTCTTCCTGCAGTCCCCTCCCTCTACACCCTCCCTCCCTCCCCCTCTGCAGCAGGCAGCGACCAATGGCTGGTGTCGAAGCAGCGTCTACATTACGTAATTGCCATCTGACTGATGGCAAGTGTGGGAATTTATGTGGGTGGTGGATGCGAGAGGCGGGTGAAGGTCGTACTTTTTTTTTCCCCTCTCCTCTTTGTGGGGAGACTTTTTCCCCTCCTCTGCCTTCCCTCTTCCCTTCCAGGGGGAGCCTGGTGCTGGAGACTTAGTGAAGACGAGGGGACACGCCAGGGGAAGGAAAGGAGAGATGGAAAAAGATATTCTGACTAGCGGCAACCACCTTGTCTGCACCCTATAATCATGGGATGGCCAACTCTGCCAGTGTGAAGACCGTCTCGCTACCTCGCTGAGTTTACACCCGCAATAAACACAAAGCCATTACATTACTGGAACTAACAAACATTGTCCCGATAATACTAAATATCCTTGAAATAAATAATAAAGAGAAACAAAAGACTTTGTAAAATATAGTCTTAAATGAGAAAGGAAAACATTTTGAAAGCCATTCAAGTGGCGAAAGAGACGAGTTTTTGCTTGACGTACGAAACACAACTCTTCCAGTACTCCATTTTTTTCCCTAGACAGAATTTTAATATATACAAATTATGATATATAAGAGTGGTTCTCTCAGATGCAGGAAGCACAGTGAGACACAGCATAAAAAAAAATTCTAGCTACTTCCAGCGAGTTTAAAAACAGATACATGAAAGATGACTTATTGAGGCAGGTTAGATAAAATGGCAGCCAGTGTCCATCAACACAATCGTTATGATTTGTGTACTTCCAGGATTGATTTTTTTTTAATTCCAGGAATGATGTGGTTTTATGTTCCTGGAATGTTGTGTTTTTAAATTTCTTCCAGGAATGTGGTTTTTAATATTCGTCCAGGAATGATGTGGTTTGTTCCAGGAATGATGTGTTTGTTCTTCCAGGAATGATGGGGTTTATGTTCTTCCAGGAATGATGGGGTTTATGTTCTTCCAGGAATGATGGGGTTTATGTTCTTCCAGGAATGATGTGGTTTTTTATATTCTAGAATGATGTGGCTTATACGTTCCTTCAGGCATCACCATAGTTTTTTTTTTTTTGTTCTTTCAGGAGACACGGTTTTTAAGTTCTTAAGGAAACATCATGGTTTTTACGTTCTTCAGAAGACATCATGGAATTTTTACGTTCCTAGAAAGACATGGGAGTTTTACGTTCTTCGGAAGACGTGGGATTTTACGTTCTTCAGGAATTATCTTGTGTTTTTTGCGTTCCTTACGTCTTAGCAAATTTGACGAGACGTTGTATGGACGTCACGTCAGTATTGTCGGGAACCATGCGTCACTATATGAAACGCACACATACGTGGCGTCATTCGTCCACACTTGACGTCACGCGACTACATGTGGTGTCGTACGTCAACACGTGGCGTCACATGTTCACATGACCCGCGTCACATCGCGTGTGTCCTATATATATATATATATATTTTTTTTTTTTTTGCGGATGCGAGCATAGGGTGGGGCGGGGAGGAGCTCCCCAGGAAGCCGCGGGCACGCCCATCGCAGGAAGGCAGGGGCGTGGCAGGCGCGGCTGCCGACGCCCACAATAATATCACAGGGAAGGAAGGCGCGGCCTTCATCCACGCCTAATTTTTTTTTGGCTTGGTGCAAGAGGCGGGGAGCCGGACTCAAGAGCCAGACTCTCGAACCGGACTCAGGAGCCGGGGAGCTGGACTCGAGAACCGGACTCAGGAGCCGGGAAACCGGACTCGGGAGCCAGGGAGCCGGACTCTAGAACCGGACTCAAGAGCCGGACTCAAGAGCCGGACTCAGGAGCCGATGTACATCTTCTCACATTTGGAAACCTGCTTGTGTACGCTGTTCAGCCGCTCGTTGAGGATCTTGATCGACTTGTCGGGGATCGGCGGCAGCACCTCCTGGAGATCGGGTTCGTGTCGGCCGAACATTTCCTCAGTCGGTCGCCAACGTCCCGTCTGGCGACCAGCTGGCGGACGCGGTCGACCGTGGAGCGGCGGAAAACACACAGCGCTTGCAGGAGGGAGGCGTGGAAAGCCTCATACTTGTCGAGGAGTCGGTAGCCGTGCAGGAGACCCGACTCGTTGTCGAGGAAGACTAGTAGTCCCGAGGCTTCGTGGCGAGCCAGGTTGTGCGCCGGAGCCTCCATCATGCTGGGGTTCCACTGCATGTTGTACAGGTTGTTGACCACGCGGTCCAGGTTGGCGGTGAGGTAGTCGAAGATGATCAAATCGGACCACTGGGCCAGTTCGGCCAGGCCCGCCATGTCCCGCGGGTCCTTCTCCTCCACGTCCAGAGGGTGTAGTCGTCGCCGGGACGACCTCAGAGACGACGGGATGAAGGCTGGCGTCAAGCCCTCCACGTACCGGGTCATGACGACAGGTCGCTCCTCCGCCCACTGCGCCAGGGCCAGCTGGTTTCCCACCCCCGCCCACTGCCACGCCCCCGCCCGCACCACCCCCAGAGCTGAGGCGGGACGTTGGTCAGTCCCAGCAGACGACTCAGGTAGAAGCTGAAGATCTCTCCCTGGATTTGGTCGTAGTTCTGGCGGTACCGGCAGCACGACCTGGTGCCGTTCTCGAACGTTAGAAGACGGTTCTGCATGCGGCCACAACCCTCCTGCAGGCGCACCACTGCCTGCCGCCGCGTAAATTTGCGCCAATCGTCGACCTCGTGGTCGGGGAAGCCCCTGGGGATTGCGGCCTCCACGGCAGCGCCCCAGTACACTTCGTCCACTAGTAGAGCGGCGGCTTCCTCCACGTCAGGAGCATCGCGCTCCGGCCCACCCCAGGCCGTCTGGTTAGCGCCTCCAGTATTGCTGGAGGTGAGGTCGGTGGAGTGATCGCTAGAGGTGTGATCACTGGAGGTGTGGTCGCTGGAGGTGTGACCACCTGGGTGTGGTCGCTGGAGGTGTGGTCACTGGAGGGTGGTGCCCATGTGTGTAGCGGGGGTGTGACCCCTACCACACCTTCCACCACCATGCTGGCCCCCTCCACCCCACTCTCCTCTGCTGCTGCTGCTGCTGCTGGAAGGGTAAGGCGAGGGGCGCGGAAAGGGGCGGGGTGGCTAGAACCAGCGGCAGCGTAACGCCCACAGCGACGCCCAGCAGGAAGGCCAGGAGGGCGGCGGCGAGGCAGACTAGGCGAGAGGCTCTCTGTGGTAGCGGCGGGGAGGGTAGTGGGATACTGAGGGCTCCACCTTCCACCTTCATGTTGTCACCCCTGCCACGGAACACCAGCCCCTCCACCATCACCCACACGCCCTCACTCCGCCACCATCACACGCCCCCGCGCCGCCTCCAACACACACACGCCCGCGCCTACCACAGCACCGCCACCTGTAACAGGATACACACAGTTAGTTATGACAACACCTAAAACAAAACACAACACACACACACACACACACACACACACACACAACACACACACACACACACACACACACACAGGAAAGGCACAACGACGACACTGCAAACACATCACTAAACAACACAAATACACCACAACAAACCAGAAGACCACACAGATGTAGACAACTGCAAACCACACATACAAGACATACACCACACACCAGAAACCGCATCCGCAAACACACACCACCTACCACATAGAGACAAGACATCACAGATCCAAATCAACTCTTACCAAAACAACAAAAAACAAGCTGCAAGTTATGACATTAAAGGATTAATTAAGTTTAGAATATTAAAATGCAAGTGAAAATTATAGTAGGTTTGGAATCCAACAAAAAATGACCTAAGAAGAATAAGTGGTGTCAGCTTCCATAAATGCTTGAGCATTCAGATTTAACCCCCACTCAAGGCTAGAGTGAGTGGATCGGCAAACGGCAGTTGAGAGGTGGACAGGAGTAAGAATCGACCCCTGCAACTACCACACAACACCACCACACACACAAACACACCATCACACACACATTCCCACACACACATATATCAACGTCCTCCGGAAATTCATTACATTAATGAATTAAATATTTTAAAGTTTGAGAAATATTAAAATGCAGAAAATATATTAATGTTTGGAATCCCCCCAAAAATGACCTAAAGAAGAAAAAAATAATTCTCTCAATTGCCCTCTCCAGAAGAATGCTGATGTCAAAATTCAGATTACCCCTCCCACCTCCAGGACTCAAGTCCGACTGATCGGTTTCCTTAAATCTTCGTAAAAGTTATCTTACTCATACTCCCAAAACACCTCCATAAAAAAAAATCTTCATTCTTTTTCCTAACATTTTCCCAGAAACGTGCTGGATGATCAAGCCCTTAATATCCAAAACTACTACTCCCCCGTCTCCAGCTGCTGTTCCTGGTACGACCCCTACCCCCTACTACCTCCTTAATCCCCTTCGTCCCATCTTCACATTGAATCCCTCTTCCCAGCCTCACATTAAAACATAAGCACCATGAGCCAGGCAGTGTTATTAACGGAGACTAAGGTGGTTGTGGACGTGTGTGGAGAGCAGCCAGGGAGTTCCCTGACAATCTGGATAATTAGCAGTGTCAGTGGGCGAAGGGCAGTTCGTTTAGGCAGATGACAGGTCACATTTTGGTGAGCCTGGGTGTGAGACGGAGGTACAAAGCAAACGATTCGCTCTGAGTAGAGCCTTTTAACAAGTCATGATCAAGCTCTACTTGATAATTTGTTGTCAATAGCAAAGTATCGTGTGTGATGATTTCACTGCAGTGGCTTTCCAAGGTACTGCTTTGCAGTGCATGCCATTATAACTAAGATATTACAAGGCCCCAATGGAAATAAGTCACTTTAACTGTTTTAAGTTATCCTAGGTAATCCACGCATATGCTGCTATGTGTAGTAATTTATGTGACCGTATGTATACTTGTACCTGAATACATGTGAGTTTTAGTACTGGAATGTGTGTGTGTGTGTGTGTGTGGTGCTGGTCGGTGGGTATTGTGGTGTTGGTTAGATGTGTGGTGCTGGTCGGTGGCTGCGGCTGCGGACTCCCCGTGGGTGCAGACTGGTTGCTGTCTAGGTGGGAAGGTGTATCATGGTGGTAAAAATGCCTACGTGAGAGCTTTGCTGTGTTGGCCACAGACGCTGTGGCGGCTGCCAGCGTCTCTCAGCCAAGCTTTCGACGACTGCTGTAGTTGCAGCAGCTGCTATAGTTCCTACAGCAGCTGTAGTTGCTGCAGCTGCTATAGTTCCTACAGCTGCTGTAGTTGCTGCAGCTGCTATAGTTCCGACGACTGCTGTAGTTGCTGCAGCTGCTGTAGTTCCGACTACAGCTGTAGTTGCTGCAGCTGCTGTAGTTCCGACTACTGCTGTAATTGCTGTAGTTGCTGTAGCTGCTGTAGTTCCGACGACTGCTGTAGTTGCTGCAGCTGCTATAGTTCCTACAGCTGCTGTAGTTGCTGCAGCTGCTATAGTTCCGACGACTGCTGTAGTTGCTGTAGTTCCGACTACTGCTGTAATTGCTGTAGCTGCTGTATTTCCGACTACTGCTGTAGTTGCTGTAGTTCCGACTACTGATGTAGTTGCTGCAGCTGCTGTGGTTCCGACGACTGCTGTAGTTGCTGCAGCTGCTGTGGTTCCGACTACTGCTGTAGTTGCTGCAGCTGCTGTGGTTCCGACTACTGCTGTAGTTGCTGCAGCTGCTGTGGTTCCGACGACTGCTGTAGTTGCTGCAGCTGCTGTGGTTCCGACGACTGCTGTAGTTGCTGCAGCTGCTGTGGTTCCGACGACTGTTAGTTGCTGCAGCTCTTGTTCGACAGCTGTAGTTGCTGCAGCTGCTGTAGTTCTTACAGCTGCTGTAGTTGCTGCTTGTATAACTGCATATACAGTGTGTGTGTGTGTGTGTGGTGTGTGTGTGTGTTGTGTGTGTTTGTGTTTGTTTGTCTTTGAACATATACATCGAGAGGTGTATGTCTTGCAGTGGATATGCGCCGAGAATTGATTTAAATCCCTTCTTTACTGTCAAGCAGCTGAGATGAAGAACCTGGAATTAATGTTTATGGATTGCAAGGAAGTTACATCGTAGGCTGAGATCATAGGAGCTACTGTAGTTTATTGAATGAATGATTATCACTGCACAGTCAATCATGATGTGGTTCATAGCTGGAACACGTCTGCTGCTAGACATACTGCTCACCAGTATCAAGGACTTCAATACACAAATAACCCCCACGTAGGAGAGAAGCTGACGACGATGGTTCGGTCCAACTTAACCATTTACAAGCGATTTGTAAATTGCCCAGTTCGGACCGAAACGTCGTAAGCTTCACTCTCCTGTGTACTGGTATTTGTGTACTGTTCCAGTCACGGTATTGTGCCTTTTTTTCTTTGACAAAATTGTTTATATGCCATATGACAATAGCGTTTTGCGTGGGGAATTGATTGATACTGCCAGGCCACAACATAGCCCTTGATGATGAGCATGAAGACCACTCTAATAATTCCCAGAGAGTAGATAAGTAAGACGTGTGTAAAACAGGTATCTTTATTCCGAAATGTTTCGTCTCCCAAGTAGGTTTCTTCAGTCGAATATACAGGTGACAAATTTGGAGACAGTAGTGGAGAGGTAATGATGTGATCAGTCCATCAACCTTGTAGTAATTTGAGGTGGTCAGTCCCTCAGCCTGGAGATGTATTTAACTTAGTCTGACTATTGAAGCCTACACAAATAACCCGCACATAGAAGAGAGGAGCTTTGGGATGTTTGTGCATTGTTCCAGTCACGGTATTGGCCTTTACCTAATGTTCCAATGTATCTTATTACTTGTCGATATTGTATACCATATATATCATAATCCGAGATAAAGGTTCACAGACTTGCATTATGACATAGGTGTCAGTAGAACTAAATGTTTTACATTGATCAATGAAAGTTTACTCTCTTGTGGATTGAGCTGGCAGTCATGATGTGTTCCAGGAGACAGTGTTTCAAGACCCTCTCATTACATTTGAAGTTTTTTGCAATACAGAAATCTCGGATGCAGCGCATCATCAGGTGATCTGGATATATGATAAAAAAAAAAGCTTGCACTGACAAGGTTCCCATTACTACCTACAAAATGTGTATTTGACCAACTGATTTATTCACCACATTTTCAGCCGAATACAGACAGCGATGGTATACCGTGCGAGGTATATTATAAACTTCGGTATAATCATTAGTGAATCTGACAGTAGACATGCAACTCTTCATGGGTTCATTGCGAATGAAATGGTCTAATCTTGAATGATGGCAGAGCTGAACTAAGCCCGGGTGGTATGCACGTGTTAATATCTTAGGATGCACTGGAACACTCTTGGAAGGATTAGGAATGGAAGAAGTAATGGGAGCAACTTAGTGACACCAAAGGTATGCTGAGTATTATGTCTTAGTCACGAGCTTCTCCTGCGTTTAACGTGGTGGCTTCTGCATTGCTGACTGATTTTTTTTACAAGGTGAAGAAAAGTCCCTTTAAGACTTCTTTGAACTGGATATAATTATAACTTAAATTTTTAAAGGGGGTGGACCGGTAAACCAGTGGAAGGCCTCGATCAGATGACAAAAACTCCAGTGGCGGGTCATCATTTGATTAAGACCCACTTAAGGAAACACTCGTCCTGTTTCCTGACGAATCTTACCTAACCTAACCTGTGAACTTCTAAAGCAGGCAAGACCTCGCCCCACGGAACACACGTGTTGAATGCCTCATAAAACCCACATTTTTAGCTCCCCAGTTTGTCGGTATGTGAAGGGAAGGAGATTGGGTTTTATATCATCACTTGAAATAGATCATTACCTACTTGTAACTGTGCTAGATATATTGTATTACAATTTATTGAAATGAAAACTGAATAACTATTTTAATGATCGATGAACTTCCGCTGATCTACCATGTAGTCTGGCCTCGTGCAGGAACTGTAGAAACACTTGCAGTAAATATGGTAGACGGACTAGACACCTTATGATATCTGTGATGAGATGCTAGTAATGTTAGACATAAATATATGTGAGCCAAAGTACATGAAAGACAACTGCAAGCTGTAAGTAGTTGCACTCTTAACCTAAGAACATCTCTCGCCAACAGGAAAGCAATTATGAAAAATACAGATAGCAAGAAATTGTCTTCAATGTTTGTGTGTGGTTCTGTAATGGAAGACTATACGATAATCATCGGTCGGTAATGAAGTGGTTATTACACTTAAACATATTCCTTAAGAGATTTAGCAATTGCTTGAATATTTTTGTTTTCTTCCAAAGTTTTAGTTCAATATTTTGCGAACGCCTCATCTGATCGACTTTAGTCTTCAACGCTGGTGCACTGTAGATAGGAAAATTCGTGCAACTATAAGCATGTTCAGGTGCCCTTTCGTAAATTTTGT